TTAATGATAAAGTTGAGAAAATTTAAAAAAAAAAAACTAAAAATAAAATGCCGCTGTTTAGGGTATACCACCGTTAGCATCATGGACGATTGCATCGCTGCATGAGCTGAAAACAACTGGCAATAGTACAAATTTACAACTTAACGTTGATCCTGATATCGATTATGGAATACAAGTTTGTGGCGTTTACAGTGAACATTGGAAGAAACCAAAATTTGAATTGATGCGTGTCATACCTTTCATATGCACGTCCTGCAAAACAACTCGTTAGTTTCATTCAAAATTTATAATTCATTCAAGATTTGAACATACTACAAGCAATAGCTGTTCGATTTAACATTTTGTAAATCTTCTAAAATTTGATTTTTTTTGAAGTTGTCATCATTTTTGGAAAAAAAATTTTGCCAAAAATTTCTCATTTGTTCTGACATTTTATCAATTCTTGAAATTTTCTTTCCTACCAGCTAATATTACAACGGGATATTGTTTGTGAATTTTTTATTAATTTTTAGCATAATATATTACCTTCCAAAGTTATTTATTAATTTCTCATTTTTTTCTGCTTATAATTGTAAAATTCTTTTCAATTTCAATATTCCATTTTTCATTGAAACGAACAAAAATTCATTTAATTTCTTTATTTTTATCATTTTTCATAAATTCCTTTTTAATTTTCATAATGTTTCAGCGGTGGAATCATTCGGACGTTGCGGTGAATGCACCAAAATCGAAGGACCGTTACTATTTGGGCGTCGTTGTCATCCGAAAGGCGGAATTGGTTGCACCTTAGCTGGAAACATTTCCAATTCTTTTGATACCAAAGGTTGAGAAAATTAATTAGATAATTGGAAGTAATTTTATCATAATTTTATTGTTAATTTGAACGGCACTGTTAACTGTATGGATAGGCGAAATTATCAAATGAGTAATAATAGAATAATTTTTTCAAAGAATAATAATAAATAATTTCAAATCGGTGATAAATTCAAGCAAGTGATAAATTTTATTTTTCGTAAATTTTTGAGAAAAAATTTGGAATTTTCTGAAATCGTCCAATTATTTTTCTACGGGTTATTGTTTTCTACTAAAATATTTTAATAACATGTAAAAGTATTTCAATTCAAATTATAGTTATGTTTTGTTTATTTGTAAATTTCAGATGAAGACTTATTAAATCAATTAACAGTACTGCCATCAGATGTTTTCATTGATTTACCACCTGATAACGCAAAAACGAATGCGGTCAGCAAACAACACATTCCGGTTGAGTTTCAAAGCTATTTCTAATGTTTGACCATTTAGTATTTGAATTTTTTTTTTTTTTGGGAAGTTTTGAAAATTTAACTTTCAGCTTATTCGTAAAAATTCCGATACTTCAATTCCACAAATATCAATCAAATCGACAACTAAATTAGAAACATCTTTGTAAGTTTTATTCTTGTCAAATTTAAAACAGAATAGAAGCAATCAAATGTTATGAGTTAATTAATTACGTGTAATTTTAATCATCCTCTTCTCAATTTTCATTATAAAACTGTTCCAAATTCTTTGTATCCTTTCATCTTGCTCAATTATTCCGCAGAAATTATCACGTTCAAACTTCTAATGTAATAATAGTTTTTTAAATACAGGTCAACACATACTGTAGAGATAACATCACCTGTACCTCATATCACAAAACAACAAACAGAAGGATCATCTGGCAATTTGGACAGAGCAAAACAAACGATAGCACCGAATAAGGATATTTTAGATAAAGTTGAACTCACTGCTACAGCATCAAATTTAGCAAGTGAAATCAAGTAAATACTTTTTTTATACTTTCTTATACCATCTACAACATATAGTCTGCTACTAGAAGTTATCCAAGGTTATGAATTCATATCATTTTTTTTTTTGAAATTTGAATATTTCAGATTTTCAACATTTGCTGAACATTCTCGAATTATAACAGCATCAAATAAGAAATCGGATCTAAATTCATGTGTTCTTTCTAATGGTGTCATCTGCGAATTTGGTTGCATCGATCAGAGAAAGTGAGTGAAAATTGTTGAAATTTTATTGTTATATCAATATTACACTTCATCATTCAGTATTTATACTATCACCTAAATTATTTTCGCAAATCATATCAATGAACTCTGAAATTTTTTTTTGAATAACCAAAATTTTGAATTTTTTAAAAGTAATTAAGCATTTTTTTTTGATTAAAAAGAATATGTCCAATTTTTTTTGGAAAAATAATCAACTTACTCTCATAATTTTTTTGATTGGGTATTCAAATTGATAATATTCATACTTTTTAAAAGACTTTAGAATTCAAAAAAAAAAAGTATCATAGAAATTGATAAATATTTAAATCTGAAAATGAACAAAAACATTTGAAAAATGCATTCACTATCTTGTCTTTCAAGGTGCAATTGTCCTGAAAGCGCTCATGTCCTAATGGATAATGGCGCATGCTTATCAAATTATCGGCCCCCGCCTTTCATATGCTTCTCAACCACTGATGTAAAAGCCATTTGGAATCCATGGATGCATACATTGCAAATTCAAAGCAGAAAGGTTTGATTTTGTTTCATTTTTGAAATTTTCATAAAGATCAATTGCAAAATGACATGAATGGATTAATTAATTGAAATTGTTCATGGAATTTTGAAACTGAAGCTCAAAATTTTCTCCTTATCTCCTATATCAATGAAATTAATGCAAAAATGATTCTGCAACGAATTTTCATAGATTTGTGGATAGCTTTAAAAAGTCGTCTAAAAATAGAAGCCTGGATAACTTTAAAAGATTAGCCTTGAAAAACAACAACACCTTTTAACAATAAAAAAACTTCACATAAAAGATTTTTTCAATCAGTTTCTAAAATAATTAATAGATAGTTGAAAAAAGCATTTTTTTTTCTTGGAAATAATTTACAAAGAATTTATAAATTATTATGCACAGATCTACAATGAAATTAAAATGCATGCAAATTATGATCGAATATTTCTGGAATTTGGACATGTGAAGCATATTGCGGAAGAAAAAATTTCATTTAATGGGATTATTTTTGATGAGCGAAATGAAAAGAGTAATAAAGTGGTCGTTAGAATTGACGTTAGTCTTCAATACTTTTTTGAAAAAAGAAAAATTTCATTAAATTATAATTTGTTTTGTAAAAAACAGATTCTTCCTTCCAAAATTCTTATTTAAATATTTTAATTATTTATATTTCTTTATCGATCCATTTCATAATTTAACATTTTGCAGAAGATTTTACAAAATGGACTATTTCTAACAGCTCCTTATTCATTCTACACAAATCAAACCATTAATCCATTAACATATCAATACGGTTTACGTATTTGTGCATTTAATAATTCTGAAATAAAAAATCCTTTTACAGTAAATTGGACTCGAAGTACGGAACAATCGGTAAGTACTAAAAATGATGGTCCTCTTGACAATCCAATATGTCAAAAGTGTTTTTCAAATGTGATTTGTAGTACAGTAATTATCTATAATACCGTAGAATACAGTAACTATCTTATGGTATATATTATAATACATACTGTATCGCTAAAGGGCAAACTGATATTAATTCAAATGATCATAATGATCAGAGTGCTAGTTATCTGACGGATATGCACATTGCAAACTTCTGCACGCTTATAGATGTTATCATAAAACGTTCTTTTCTCATATTAGCTTACAGTTTCTACAGTTTAACACCATTAAATACCAAAAAAGATAATAATAAACTCCTTCACTATTTCGAGCGTCAATAAAACGTATTTTTATTTTAAATTTAATTTCGATATTAAAATTAAAACTAATTTTTCAATGTGATAGATATTTGTTGTAGTTGATTTTAACACCACATATTTATATTTGCTATTACATTTACCAATTTTCCTTCATTTGTGATACATCATCTATTTTGTATGAATTTCAAGCAATCAGAATTTTTTTTATTAAAATTTTAAATTTCATTTCAGATATTCCATTTAAGTGCAATTCAATTTGAACGTCGCCTTGTTGGAAATGTAGTTTCCAATGAGCAGAAACAAATAACCAAAATGGCATTCGTCATTGTACCAATAATTCTAATCGTTTTATTGGTCAGTAATTCGAAATTAAGTTAAAATACTTCATTAGGAAAGTGAAACTTTTTTTTGGAAAGATGAAAAAATAGGAGGAGAAAAAAAAGATGATTTGGTTTAAAATTTGCTTCTTTTTGATTTGACTTAAAATTTATTTCTTTTCCAGGTGTTCCTTTTGGCAATTATCATTTATATGAATTGTACTCGGCTGAAACATTGTTACGATCGTCGAAAGACTCGACATTTTCGTCCATTTATTTGGAATGGTAATATACCACCAACAAATAATGGTGCAATATATGAGAAGCATACATCAGTGATCACAAAATCAACATTTTAAAAAAAAAACATTTCCATAAAAGATTTCACACAGCAAACATTCCCGGTTCTTTTCATTCTCTCTCTCTCTCTTTTCACTCTTTTTCCTTCCATTTCTGATTTCAATTACCAAATTTCTCATTTAGAATTAACCAATTTAACTAAAAAACAGAAGTCAGCGAGTAATTTATTAAATTATTTAATTAAAATTCTAGTCATATCTAGCCGATGAATTATCTTGAAAATTTATATAACGATGAGAATTGTTGAAAATTTTGCACAATATATTAAAATTTACTCAATTTTTTTCAACTATATTTAATTCTATAGACGATATTTTGCTTATAAGAAATAAAAGTTAAAAATTTCACATTTTGAAGTTTTTAAACAGATGCAATTCTAAATATTGATATGATGAAAATTAAGAGAAATGATACGAATAATTAATAAATTTAGTTATCATCATCCTAATTTCTAGCTTTACTTCAATATTTCATAAAATTTATGTAAAAATTAATGATATTTTTGTTTGTACTTTCCACTATTTCCACTATTTTCATTCCTCTAACAATTTTATCTTCACTTATAATTTCAGGTTGATTTAATGATTTAAATGAAATACTATTGAATATTTTACTCAAATTATTATATGCAAAATACAAGAATTAAGAGCATTTAATTGTAAATCATTAAAATAAATTCAAATTTAAATTTGTAAACTAGCTTTTACTTTTGTATGTGTGATCAATGTTTTTCCCTGCAGTCAAGAAAATCATTCCAAAATTTAAATTCTCAACCAATAAACTTTGCATTACAAAAAAAATTGAATTAATCTCAGTTATTCATAATGCTAAATTTTTTTAATAATGATATACTCCTTCTTTTTTCTTCATACTAAAATTAATTGTTGAAACTAATTTTGAAGTTGCAATATGCTTATCTGATCATTATTGTCTAGAAAATTTTTATAGAATCTTCTACTTAAATCATATATTTTTCAAAAATTCTGGACACTACATCGAAATTGCATTCATTGATTGGAGGCGATTTTAAATTAAAATTCGATTAACCGTACTGTAACAATGGAAAAAAGAAGGAAATAAATGCAAATATTTTATGCATATATATATATATGTAAGCATTTAAAATATGATAAAAATGAATAAATTGTAATTATGCTTGTAATCATACATATTATTCACTGAAATTCATAACAAAAATTTTCGCAAAAATCCTACAAAAGTACCACAGATAGCAGAAGCCTATAATGTATATGACATTGGAGGGATCGGAAGATAATTCAAAAATATTTGATAAATTTTCATTTATCAGTGAAATGCGAGCTTCCACTCATTTTATATTTCAAAACAATTCAAAAAGTTATCTAAGTAAAACATTACAATACAAGAAATGAAAAAAAAAAATGATACCTCAGAGTAAAATATCAAGCAGAAGAAAGTCCGATAAAAGTATTTTAAAAATTAATTACAATATAGAATTAAATTAAAATGCATAAAACAACAATAATTTAACAAATAATTTTATTATTAGTGGGTAAATTTTCAGATATTTTTTATAAAATTAGGTATTCAAAGGCTACATTAATTAATATAATAACTTTAAACTACTAATTGAACACGATCTTAACCGGCAATTTTTTTCTCAGGAATTTTTTTTTTTTCAAAGATAATCAATTATTATAACTGCAGCATGCAGAAATTATTGTTTTTGCATGACATGATATCGTCGCCTCAGACAACAATTATTTTGCGAGCAAGGCATATATCCGATCATGCAAGAACATCCGTCAGATTGCTGCTGCATGCAATCCCTTAATGGTTGAGGTTGTTGATATTGACCGGATGTTTGCTGCTCAATGCATGATTTCATGCATGTTGGTTGACATTGCGGTACGCAACGGAATGGTTCCATAGCCTACAATAAATATCCATGGATTTCTTAATATAAAATGATGGAAAAATTAATAGTTCGATGTAATTTTCAGAAAAATGAATGCTTTGTAGAGAAATTCATACCTTACAGGTCATACCGCATTCTTGTATTTTGTGTTCCGGTGAGTGCTGTTTAATTCGAGATATTGTTTGCGGAATTTGTTGCGTAAAGTCCATGCATGAAAGTTCACAGTTTGCGATACATTCCTGTACACAACGTGCATTCTTGTTGCACGATGTTTGACATGATGGTAAGCATGTTTTGGAGCACATTTCTTGCTGTTCTTCTATACATTGCTGTTTGCAACCTGGTTGGCATACTTGTGGACAATACGGATGGAATTGGTTTGGTTGCATTTGCTGCTGTTCGCGCAAGCAATTTGGCGAACAATCTGGCATGCATGATGGTAAACAAATTTTGGCAGGTGATATTTCTGTTTGCGGTGCTTCTGTTGTTACTATGACAGGCTTCTGTTGCTGCGTGCATTGAGGATTGCACATTGGTTGACATGCTAACACGCAAGCTTGCGCAATGCATGTCGGTTGACATTCTGGTTCGCATTGTATTGCACATTGTCGTTGTGGCTGTTGTTGTTGTTGCTGTTGTTGTTGTTGTTGTTGTTGTTGTTGTTGCGTGACAAGGAAAATTTTCCTTTGTTGCTCTATACATTCTGGTAAACAAGCTGGTCTGCATGCAGCAACACAAAATTTTTGCACACAATCTTGCGAGCACTGAGGCATGCATTGCTGTATACAATGTCTTTGCGGTAGCGGTGGTGGTCGTAATGATTGTACTGATTGAGATGAAAGGTCAAATAGTTGTTGGTGAGGTAAGAATTGAGATAACCGTGATTGTTTTTGCGCAAGCAGTATTACTTGATTCCGTACTTTTTCCATGCATTGCGATTCGCACATTGGCTGACATGCAGGTGTGCAAAATTGTTGAATGCATTGCGGTTCACAAGATGGCATACAGTTTGGTACACATTGCGTTTGTACTGCTGAAGCCGGATGTTGACTTTGTGGAATATTGAGCTGACCGCAAGGTGTCAAGTTTTGACACATTTGACAGCAATTCGAAGTGCTGCTACATTGAGATGGACAATTGGATGTTTGTAATGAGTGAGGCAGAGAAGATTGACCCGGCAAAGACATTGTGACAATTGATGGTTGTTGTTGTTGTTGTTGTTGTTGTTGTTGAGCCTGAGAGATATAGAGAAATTCTGGTTGCATGGCAAAAATTGATGGTTGAAATTGTGATTGCAATATGGTAGGTTGCAAATGAGATTGCATCTGGCTTAGCTCGAACATTTTCACACATTGCAGATCGCATAATGGCATGCAAAATGCAATGCACTGCAATAAATTCGAATAAGAACTATTAATAATAATAAGAAAAAAAAAAAAAAAAACTTCTGTTCACCTTTTTTTTTTCATATCGTTCGTTATTCATTATTCAATAAAAATTAGTATCAATATAGGTTCCGTGACCTTTCCAACACATGATTTAAGGGATTAGCTGCACTTCTCTGCATTACCTCCATTTGTTGTAGTTGTTGCTGCTGCTGCTGCTGCTGCTGCTGCTGATGTTGGCTATTAAAGATGGTCAGCTGTTGATCAAGGCATTGCTGTGAACAATCAGGCATGCATGCAGGCATACAATGAATCCTTTGTTGTGGACAGTTACATGTTACCTGAAAATTGAATGTTAATTATTTACGTGATAAAGATCTATACTTTATTATACATAATGACAAAAACTTTTTGCAATTATTAAAATAGATATTGTTTCGTACATAGAACATAAAAATATCATGTATAAAAAAAACAATATTTTTCTCATAATATTCCGTCAGTCGAAAATCAAAAGATGTTGAATTGAATCGAAAAGTTTAGCAAATCCTAGCTTAAAATTTCCTATGGATTAGGCGGGTTAGCATTTTAAATGTGAATGAATAATGATTATAGTAGTAATGAAGAGGAGTGATAAATAATGATTATAAGGATGAAACGATGATAATAAGAATAAAAGTTATGAAAAGGATGATAAGCATAATTCCTTTCCTAAAGTGCATAATTTAATCAAAAGAAATAACAAATAGAAAAGATAAGGAAAAAAGTATTGTAGTAATAACATCATAATTAAGTGGTCCACAACCACAATTTGCATGCTGCTGTTGTAGTGCAGCACAATTGCAATTTGTGCTGCGTGATGCTGGTATGCAACCACATTGATTTCGCTGAATGTTTGCACAATCACATGATTTTACCTGTAAATGAAAAATTTTTCTGAAAAAATTTGGCGAAAAAAAAAATTCAGCTGAGATTACTTTCTTTATTGTCTTTTATTTACTAATATTAAAATTAGACTGTTAATTAATGGACATTTAAATTACATACTTCATTGCTGCAATTATTTGCTGCACTTTAATATAAAATGTCAAATTTATGGATTGACATTTAGAAAATTAAATTTCAATAGTCATTTACTGCAAAATAATGAATGGATTGTGAACAAACTTGTGCGAGTAAATTAGCGCAATTGCATTGCTTTTCTTGTTGTATCACAGGTGTTGGTTGTAGCGGATACGATGTCATCCATGGTAGCACAGGTACCGGTTGTTGTTGTTGTTGTTGTTGTTGTTGTTGTTGTTGTTGTTGTTGTTGTTGTTGTCGTGGCAATCCACAGCATGCAGCCATTTGCATGCAGCATTGTCGCTTTGCTCTGCCAATAAATTTTGATTCATTCTATAAAAAAAGATAATCATTAAATCAGAAGTAAAAAAAAAAAAAAACGTTAAAGTTAAAATTAGCTACATTAGTAGCTGTAGAAATAATTTCATTACGATAGTTATTTCATTTTTTTTTCATTGCAAGATTAGTTTTTTTTTTTTTCAATCTTATCATTTTTTTTTTTAAAATTACATCTTTAGATTTTAATAATTTTTATCTTCCAATTTAATTTTCAGAACCAATTTTACAAATGATGCAAACTACAAAAAGCTTAAAATTTTTTCAACATTGTTTTCATAATTAAACATTTAATTAAAAATTATGAATGTGATTCGAGTTAACTAATTGCAAAATTATTAATTAAAAAAAAATTCATAACATGCAGTTTGAGAAATCAATTGCAGCACATTTTAATACATTCTAAAATTAGTGTAATTTGAATTTAAAAACTCTAATGCCACTACGAACTCTATCCGTTCGATTTAATTGTGCAATGACGTTTGTCGTGTTATGTAAATATACTTTTCGCTGACTTAATCACGACCCTCATTTCAGGTTAAATAAATAAATAAACATTCGCTTCACGGAAATAACAAGTCGGCAAGAAACGAACTGCTAATTTCGTGAATAAGAAATTCAAATTCTGAAGTGCTTTATAATTTACACATAAATATTTGAGTTACTTATTAGTATTTGATCCATTAATTAGCATAATAAAAATAATTTTTGATTAAATTTTATATTAATACATTCTCCATATTGCTTTCAGTTTCACATTGTTGAAAAATTAGAAAAGCATATGCTACAGTTACTAAAATTTCAGTCAAGTTGAATTTATGATAAATTAAAACAAAATGATTTCCAATTACCAACTATATTTCGAAATTTTTTTTGTACTGCCAATTTAATAATTGCTTGTCTTATGCATTCTACTAATTTAACATAAGAGAAATTACGCGTGCTTACGTATCCTTTCCATAGAAAATTACAGTTTCAAATACAATCGAGTCTTTGGTATTCGTTTTTTGTGATTAATTTAACAGAAAAAAATAGCAGTAATTTATCAAAAATTGTTGAGTAATCAAAAAAAAATCAAATCAAATCAATGTAATAAATATAAACAAACCGTCACAAAAGAAATTTGTAGGATATCGAGAAGGAGATATAATAAATAGTAAGCAGCAAATCCGGAATTCATACCTGACAATTATTTCAATAATAAAAACAACAAAAACAGAAATGAAAATAATCATATACAAGAAATGTAAATTCGAAAGAGACAAAATCAATGTGAACTTTTTTGTTTCAGATCACTTGAAATATAAAAAAAATAAATGTTGAAAATTATGAAAATTTTCATTTCACTATTAACGAACTAACAGTTTTTTGGCTAAAACAACTACAGAAATGATAAATTTAAAATTTTCAATTTCCAAAAGGTTTATTGGAAAAAATACACATAGATTTTGAATCAGTAAAGTAACTAGCAAGAAAAAGAAATTTAAAATTTTTAAATTTCAATGGTCTCCTCAGTTCAGACTTATTTATATCAGAATACAACTAATAGTTGCTTGCAAGAGATGTTGAAAAGATGAGCGCTTACAAAATTCAATTCTCAAATAGACGATGGAATTCGTGTCCTTCGTCTAAATTAAACTTTCAAAGCGGTACTATTACCACTGCAACTGCTACTTAAATTACAAATGCTAAATCTCTGCACGGTTATTTCTGAAGGAATACAGTTGAGGAGTTAATTCGTATTTATGCAAATAAAAGAATTGAAATATTACGGTCGATATTTCAGTCAGAAATATTTTATCGCATGTTACACATAGTTTAGGTAAATTCAACTTTGAAATCATATAATTAGCATAAAAATTTAATTAAACGATAGCTTACAATTTTATGAGAAAAGATTAAAAAATAACCAAAAATTTCATTGATAATTAAACAAATGCCTAAAACTTCCAATTCAATAAGATTTTATTATGAAATATTCGGAAACTATCTTTCATTATTAAATTTTTGGTTTAATTTTTTTTTTTTTGCAAGTAAAACAAAAAATATTTCATTGATACTACATGCAAAAAAAAAAATGTATTGATATGCAAAGAAACGTAAAGTAAATACTGAAATTCTGCCAATTTACGAAATTTGGCAACCTTGAAAATTGGGTGACGAATCGTACAAAAAGGTGTGCAAACTTAGCAATCAAACCGAATTTTTTTTTTTTACGACGTTATACGCGAGCAATTTTATGTGACACATTTTACAGGTGACTTTTATTCTGGCTTTATCAGTTTCAAAAATAAATTAAAGTTATTACTTATCTTTATGTGTATTAATTGTAGATATTCTTTTCAATATTTAAATTTCGGTTACAAGTTTACTGCAATGATAATTATGATATCACCACCGATATCATAAAATATTGTATTTTACAATCGTTTCGTCAACATTCATTATTCCCATCAAATAATGAGTATTTATTTAAAACGTTGTAAATTTCAATAATTTTGTAATTACGCGGGATTTCTGAATTTCAGATGTAAATGAAAAAGCCGTTATTGTAAGCGAATAGCGCAATAGAATTTGTTTGTTATTATCATTCATCAGCAAAACAATATTTAGAAATTTTAAATTTCTGTCAAGATTTTTTCACACCAATATTGATTTGATCATCTTTGCAAGTTCATGGCATTCTCTAATTTAGACTTGTGAGTTTTAAGTCTCGAATAGAAGATATTTTCTCTCTTGAGTTTGTCCATTTCACCATACAAATTTCAATCATCTCTGTAAGAAGGACAAAAAATGAGTCCAGATAAGTTTGATATCAACATTTACTTTTTTGAAATTAGATGCACGAATTCATAAATGAATATGTATTGCAATTTCGCTATGACAATATTGATGATTAATTTAGCGAGGTTAAATGCTATTCGAGGAAAAAATGTGTCCTTTCGAAGTGTTATTTCAAATTTCAATTCTATTTCAAAATCAATAGATTTTCGAAAGATTTCCTTTCATGCATTCACAGCGAACAAATGGAAAGAAAAAAAAAAGCTCAAGAAGGTCAATTAAATGATTACATTTTTAATCGGTACCGATTAATTAACTATTAATTAATTAACTAGTATATGAAATTGGTGCATGAATTAGTAGTTGATTAATTAGCTGGTATATGAAAGCTAATTAATCGCGCTTTTACACTTTGAAAATTTACTTTTTTGCAATTGATGACAATGTGCCTTTTACAGCTACTATATTAAATTATATCACAATTACACAAGATCCAAGTGGCCATCCATTATATAAATTAATTAA